TGGAAATATATTTCCTTAAATAATTTTTTTTTGGGGTCCGAAACTGTCAATTCCCACAAAAAAATATAAAATCGAAGGACATNCAGCCAGCAAAGGAAAAAACAAAAATAACAAGGAGCTCGAGGTATCGTCCATGATCATCGTAGAGAGGTGTGTCTGTTGTGTGTTTGTTTCTTGCACCGTTCCTCAGGATCGTCAGCAGAGTCGGCCTCGTTCGAAAAAAAGAACGCAGGTCATCGACAACAGGACATGAACGAAAAATAGGCTCGAAGTCGCTGCAAAACCATCGCTGCTCTGCCAACTTTCACGTCCTCATCGGAATCGGTGGGTTTGCCTTGTTTCGGATAAACAAAGCGGCGACTGACCTCTAGAGATGATTCTATTGAGTACAGTCATTGTTTTCCCACTGGGTCCAACAGACGCTTATATAGTCTTGAGGCGTAGAGGGGGGGTATTTTGTGATGCGCCAATTGTGTAAAAGTGCTACATTACCAAAAACATGAACAAAAAAGAAAAGCGTTCGAGGTGTGAGGCGAGATTCAGGGCGGGTGATTCTTGGGACGGCACTGCTCAAGCATATGTGGTTACACTGCCACTTAAACATCCAAGACGCATAGTACTCCCGTACGCCCACCAATCATCGTTAAATAGTGGGGTTGGATGGTGGGAATGTGTCTATACCGAGGCACAAGCTAGATGCGCACCTGACACACACGAGCATGCAGATGACTAGTTCGGTTCCCACCAAATATATCAGCTGAAATATATACTTTTTTTTCCAATTTCCAATTTCTCCCTTCTTGCCCTCGCTCCTCGACAAGCTTTTGCTTAGACATGGGTTGTAGCGAAGGGGGGAGTCTTTCTGGCGAGCAGGGCTAGACTCACCCTCAAGGGATGACCGAATCCTTCTTGTTGCTGCGCATCCGCCGCGAGGCGTGCGTGTGGTGATGGAGTTGGGTCGGCACTGATGGGGTCATCAGGCGGGAAAAGAAATGTAGATAGATGCGCGAGCCTTTCTGGCCGTCGGCGTTGGCAGTGATGCCCATCTCATTTTTGTGCGCGGAGGCAGACATCATCAGAAAGGTGGACGGGCACTACACGGCCCTAGGTTTGCTAGAGGGAGCTGTATTGCCTCAGTAACCTGGCTTCGCCATCAACGGAGGAGGGAGCAGGTGGCGACGAGCTGAACTAGGCTGGTTGACCATTCGGCGCGATAATTTTTAGTATTTTCAGACCAAGAACCTTGAGTGCAATGAGGGAGCAAGCGAGGAACGGACTGGGAAGGACAGCAACGAGAGCGTGTACGGACGGAGCAGGTCGAGTGACGTTTTGCTCGGGCTGACTACAGCGGCGCCGGATGGAGCAGTGGCACCGGAGCATGCGGGCGACATCGACCCGTGGCGCACGGACAAACATTTCTATCTGTGTTGTCAATTTTTTTCGTTTTTTTTCTGACTTTCCGTGTTGGTTTTGTGTGATGACATCGTCACCGGTTTTGTAGAGAGACCCGTCAGAGATGGCGTGGCTAACCCGGGTGCATTGGTTTTGTGCCTGATCGTGGAAGACCCCTTCAATGTGGAACGATTCTTAGCTAGTGTCGATATTTTTCACTGCAGTGCCTACACAGACGATCGGGAGAGATTCGGGTGATTGTCAATTGCTGCTATGATGGCTTTGGTTGGTTGTTCTTTTTCACTGTACGGCCGCAGACACAACATTCTGACAGCACTTCAGACAGCAGCTTTGTGCCCCGCCAGCTGCTTGTTCCATGCCTACCATGGTGTTTTTGTACAGACAGCACTTCAGACAGCATTATGCTGTAGTAGTCGGCAATCTTCCGTTTTGGTATAGAGTGGGACAGGGAGGGGGTGATGCTACTGTAGTCGAACGGTGGGACAGACGTACGTGCAGTTCATATTTTGGGCACGCATACGGTGCTGCAGGGATTTTTAGGTGTACCTCTTCGGGCTCTTGGATACCTTTTTTGTTCGTTAGATCCTCAGATGGCTCTTCTAGCACTTTCGTGACCACGGGCTGAGAGTCTTTTGCTAGATTTCGGCATTTAGCAACTGACATACGGTTTAATGTGAAGACAACAACAACAACAACAACAACAACAATTTCAACACTTTGTTTCGGTATTGTATTTTCTCCTTGTCTTATGTACAGCAGTATACCAAAGCCTGCAAGTGCATGCTGTATTGACAATGTATGGGATCTGGAGGCCAGTTTCCATCATTTCGTTATAGGATTAAAAACATAAGTGCGACAACCTATTCTTCCGATCAATTACCATGTCCGCCACCGCGCTCCTCCGAGCGACTTACAAGGAGGAGGTTCCGGACCTACTTGCGGTACCCTGCGCCACGACTGGGAGACCTCTCCGCAGCCACTATCCAGTGGCGGCGGCAGCAGATTGTTGTACAGTTTCGTTTGCCCCTCCGCGGTCTGGAGTCAGGGCTCCTGGAGCCAGCTCATCAAGTACTTCACTTTAACTTGGTCCAGTCCTTCTGGCGTTCCTTAGCCTTCCTTACGGAACGCCTTAAATTTTCCGATGAAGTTGCAGCTGTTGATGACCCAGCTCCAGCAGCGTAACCTCCAGACATCGTAAGGGGCTACGGAGCGCAGACTTTTTTGTTACGTTCCGTTGCCCCCCCGAAGTCTGGAGCCAGAGGGGCTTGATTTGGTTATCAACAACGGTACGCTGCGGAACACCTGTACTTAACGATCAAGCTGCAGTTAGTTGTTGATAACCAAACATAGCCCCTCCCTCTGGTTACAGACTTCGGAAGAGCTAGAGAGCGCGGAATGTGTTGTGGCCACTGGATGGTGGCAGCGGAGAGGTCGGGCGCTTCCATACGTGGCGCAGTGTGGGCAAGTAGGTCTTGGCTTGTTCCTTGCAAGGCGTTTGGAGGAGCGCGTCGGCGGACACACTTACTTATCGTCGACGTGGTCCCCATGTAGCACCTCTCATTCATTTGCGTGATCGCTTGACGAGAAGGTCGTATCGTTAGCTCTCCAAGAGTTGTGTGCATACGCTCTTTTGTTGCCGCTACGCGACGCCGTTTTCCCAGCTTGTCGCGACCCTCGGACTTTGTTGTGTCATTTGGCAAGGTACTTGTGAGTAAATAAAATTAAGCCTTGCACGCAATCAATCCTTGCTCACGTGTCCAGTGCCGAATTCTGATATTCTGCGGTGATGAATCGAAGTGAGACACCCTAGCAAAAGGGTGGTGGGTGGTGCAAGTTTTCGTCTATCTCTCCGACACAAGAGAGCCACGATAGTATTCGTTGATCCATAGAGATTGCACTATATTGGCGTACAGTTGTGATCCCGATATGTCGCGGGGTTTTGACCGACAACAATCGCGTTGTACGGGACCCGCGCTATTGGGGGAAGGTCCCTCAACCAAAAGCTATATTGGGGGATGGTTATTGTACTAACTCAAAATTAAGTAATAGGCTGCTGGTGTGCTAAGGATTTTTTCCGCGATATATCCGGAACCAACCGCGCTATTCGGGACCGCGATACGATATATCGGGATCAATGTCGCTGTACATACATACAAAGTTTTCTTGTTTGGGAAACAAGTGAAACTGTTCAGCTACATGCCCAATGTTTCGAGCATGCCTCACCTAACAACATATAACAACATATTCGCCTGATTGAGAGCGAAGTATCTGATTGAGAGCGAGAGCCAAAAAAATTGAAATTTCGGGTCCAGACGCCTCTTGCCATTTCTTGGCAAGTAGGGGACGGGCTATTCCAAGAAGCGGTGCAAATTGAAGGTCTCATCAGCAGCTTCGCGAGCATATGCGTGTCATCGTCATCGGATGCTGCAGCGAGGAGC